AGAGAGAGAGAGGGGGGGGGGGGAGAGATGACAGACAGATGATAGATGATAAATGATGAGAGATAGAGTGATAGATGATAGATGGATAGACAGATGAAAAATAGCAATAGCACTTAGAGTTATATACAGCTTCACAGTGTTTTACAGCGCTCTCTAAGTGGTTTATAGAGTCAGCATATTGCCTCCAACAATCTGGGTCCTCATTTTACTCATTTGCACCACCAAGATGATAGACAGATAGAAAGATAAATGACAGGTGATAGGGAGCTAGAGAAATATGATAGATGATAGAGAGATAGATGTGTGTGTGTGTGTGTGTGTGTGTGAGCGTGAGAGAGAGAGAGAGAGAGAGAGAGAGAGAGAGAACCAAGGGTTCTACTACTGATCAATCTCCTTATCCTGAAGCTGCTTCCCATTCTGAGATCTCAAGGGAGAGTCCCAGTCAGAAAGCAAACAGAAATTGCAACACTTTCTCTTCCATACTTTCCCTTGGGGACTACCCAGATGGTAGAAGAAAAGACTAGATGCCTGGCCTTCCTGATGGAAAGCACACCAATATTTCTGCACTAATGTTCTTTACCATTTGTTATCTTTCTCAATTACTTTTAGAGATCCTTGAGTCTTCATGAAACATCGTAACTTAATCTGTTTCATTATACAGTACATCATTCCAGTGCTATTTGGCTAAAAGTCATTTTCATTGTAGCAGAGCACTCTTTACCAAAATCATAATTATTAAAGGTATCAAATGCCTGTAAGACAGATCTGTGTTTCCAAAACACAGTTAACTAGGGCGTAACTTAACACATTAACTTCTCATATAGCTAAGAGCTGCATTTGCCTACTGTGAAAAGCTTGGTTAGTTTTAACTTTGGCTATTTAACTACTGATGACGTTGTGTTATAAAAAAGCTTGCTTGGTTAGGTTTTGCTTCAGCATGTTATACAAACACAGAAAATAAGTTAATTCAATAATCTGGATAAGTGTTTTCTATGAAGGCAGCCAAAGAGAGGTGGAAATATTCATCTATGCATTTTCATAGCTTTTTTTCTTTATAAATTTTCAGCACAATGGGAAGAATTACGTTTACATCAGTGGTGGGTTGCTACCGGTTTGCCATGGATCGGGTGAACCAGTAGCAGTGGTGGTGGGAGGCTCCGCCCACCCGTCTGGATGTCTCTGCACATGTACAGAAGCTTCTGCGCATGTGCAGAAGCATTGCATGCACATGTGAACGCATGGAAGCCCATGAGCAAACCGGTAGCAGCCGAAATTGAAACCCACTACTGATTTACATGTTGTTTTTTAAAAAGAAGACTATGAAAGGTTTTTTGTTCCAAATCGTTGCAAAGATAACAGAGTGTGCTGAAATGGACAGATTGACGCTGGAACTCCAGGAAAAGGAAGAAAGCGAATACTATCTTGTATGGCACCAATGGTATCAATGGCTGGAAAGGAAAATCAGCAAAAATGTAGAGGACAGAAATTAGGGTAAAGACTTTCACAAGGAGATGAACCCATAAGAAATGTAAATTTGTAGTGAAAAGTTATAACATTGGAATTAGACATTTAATAATTACTCTTTATTAAACTATATAAGCTCAATGACATATATTCTGTTGATGACAAAAGCGTAAATGTAAAATGTTAGGTGGGTTTGTAGGTGGTGGGTTTTTTGTTTGTCTTTGTATTGTATTGTATTGTATTGTCTTTATATCTGTGTTTATATTTTAATAATAAAAAAAAAATTAAAAAAAAAAGAAAGAAAGAAAGGTTTTTTGTTCCTGTTTTGAATCAAATACCATTCTTGCTAACCCTTTGGGGATTTCTCAAAGTCAGGATTTCCTCCCCAAGAGAAGTCCAGTCCTAGATGTTATTGGGAAGCAAAAAGCAATAATATTATGTTCCCACCTGAGCCGTGGGAGTGTGGTGGTTAGAATACAGTATTGCAGGATAACTTTGCTCATTGCCAGGAATTCATCCTGACCTGCTCAAAATTGACTCAGCCTTTCATCCTTCTGAGGTCAGTAAATGAGAACCCAGATTGTTGGGGGCAATATGCTGACTCTGTAAACTGCATAGAGAGTTGTGTAAAGCATTATGAAGCATTATATAGGTCTAAGTGCTATTGCTGTTGCCATCACAGAGAAAATTTGGCAACCTTACAAATGCTGGAATATTGTTGCAAGGATACAGGACTGCAAACTAAATTGTTATTTAGTCACTAAGTTGTGTCCGACTCTTCATGACCTCATGGACCATAGCACACCAGGTTCTCCTGTCCTCCACTATCTCCCAAAGTTTGCCCAAATTGTCAACCATCCCACTCAGTTATCTAGCAAAGAAAGCTAGGCTTCCAAACCGCCCCCCTTTCTTCCCATTCCAATCCTTCCCTCCTATCCTAAGCTAATGTCTGGGTGTCAGTTCATGAAGGTTGGATAGGTGAGATGCAGCCATGACACAAATTCATGTTCATTGCATCAATGACACTATCTAACCATCTTATCCTCTGTTGTCAATTTCTCCTTTTGCCTTCAATCTTTCCCAACATTTTTCCAATGAGCCCTGTCTTCTGATTAGGTGGCCAAAGTATTTGAGCTTCAGCTTCAATATCTGTCCTTCAAAAGAACAGTCAGGATTGATTTCCTTTAGGATTGACTCACAGTCCAAGGGACTCTCAAGAGTCTTCTCCAACACCACAATTGCAAACTAAGTGGGGTTACCTAATTGAAGTATTAGTACAGCTCTTTTCAGAATGTATTATTTTACCCATTTGTTTCCAGTAATAAACAAGGCATTAGATTAAGGCAAATGCACTAAAAACTGGAAGTAACTTCAACTCAATTGACATAGAGGCTATTTAAGAGAGAATCCAAACATTTCATCAAGGAGCCTAAGTGATCTGATGGGACAAAAGGGGTAATGTCTTCTATAAGAAAAGAAAAGTAAACAAAGCAAAATAAAACAAAATGCCAGTGATAAAGCTAGTATTTCTGCATCCCAGGAATTCTAAGCATGTGATTCTGCTGCTGCTGAATGCCAGCTTTGAATTCCTGAAAGATGGAACATTAGTAGAAACCCAATAGAAAATCCAATTCATCAGAACAAAAGAATTACAAATTCTACACTTGTGATTTCTGAGATAACAATAGTGCTACAGCCTTCAATACTCTGGTGTGAATTGAAGATTGAAATGAAAATTATACAGAATAACAGAGTTGGAAGGGACCTTGGAAGTCTTTTAGTCCAACCTCCTGCTCAGGCAGGAAACCCTATACTATTTCAGACAAATAGTTGTCCAATCTCTTCTTAAAAACTTCCAGTGTTGGAGCACTCACAACTGCATCCCACTAATTAATTGTTATAACTGTCAGGGAATTTCTCCTTAATTCTAGGTTGCTTCTTTCCTTGATTAGTTTCCATCCATTGCTTCTTGTCCTGCCTTCAGATGCTTTGGAGAGCAGGTTGACCCCCTGTTCTTTGCGGCTACTATGATAATACTGCTATCATGTAATCCTTTTTTTCAGTAAGCTAGACATACCCAATTCCTGCAACCATTAAGTAGTCCTCAACTTAGAATCACAATTGAACTCAAAATATCCATTGATAAGTTAGTTTTTGTGCTACTTTCATATATGAAAGAAGGAATTTGAGAACCCTGAATACTGGCACTAATTCAGGGATGTATGTCAACATGGGAATCAAAATCATGTAATGGGTTTAAAAAATGGGTGGGGCTTTCATTGGAAGCTCATGGTCACCATATTGTTTTTTTTACCTCATTCCTTTAGAACAGGGGTGGGGAACTATGGCTCTTTTATAATAATAATAGTAATAATAACCTTTATTTCATTGTACAACATGTAGACAACGAAATTGGTTTAGCCTCTACTGGTGCAATCCATAACAAAAAATACAGGACAATACAGTTCCCAATTTTTACAAGTAATTGGGGAAAGAAAAAAACTAGTCATACATTTCCATATGTATGTGGAGTGATTGTGATTTTGTTTAGGAGTCTGACATCCCATGGGTAGAAGCTGTTTTTAAACCTGTCCAGCTGGCTGTACTTCGATGTCTTCTGCCCGATGGTAAAAGTGAAAAGAGACACCGGCCAGGGTGTGAATCATCCCTAAGTATCTTCCTTACTCTGCTGAAACAGCGAGACTTGGCGATGTCATCCAGTGGTGTTAGAGGGCAACCAATGGTTTCTTGTTCTTGTGATCACTCTCTGTAGTGCCTTCCTGTCCGTAGCTGTTAAACCAGCATACCATATTGTTATACAGTATGTGAGGACATTTTCTATTGTGGACTGATAGAAAGAAGTCATCAGTTGTTGTTCCATCTGATTTTTCCACAGGACTCTAAGGAAATGAAGTCTCTGTTGAGCCTTACTAACCACCAGGGACGTGTTGTTTTTTCAGGTGTGATCTTGACTAATGAATATTCCCAAGAATTTAAAAGAGGAAACACTCTCCACACTCACATCCCTTGATATACAGTGGGGCAGGTTCCTCTCTCTGCTTCTGGAAATCCAACACCATCTCCTTTGTCTTGCTAGTATTTAGATGTAGGTTGTTTTTTGAACACTATATGGATACCTTCTGGACTTCTTCCCTGTATGCTGATTCATCCCCTCCAGTTATCAGCCCCAGCACCATTCTCATCTGCAAATTTTATTATGAGGTTGGATGAATTCGAGGATATGCAGTCATGTGTATACAGCAAGTAGAGGTAGGGGCTGAGCACACAGCCCTGAGGGGAGCCTGTGCTGAGCTTCATGGTGGAAGATGTCGAGAACCCAACTCTTACTGTTTGTGGACAGTCCGTCAGGAAGTCTTTGACCCAGTCACAAATGAGGGGACCTGAACCAGCTATGCTGGCTGAAAAATTCTGGTAGTTGAAGTCCACAAATCATAAAGGGACCATAGTTCTGATTTAGAACATTCCTCACTACTTTAACTGTTATTTAATGGTCTTTTGCAATCACTTTGGCTTACCTGTTGATACTATTTTTTTGTGCTAACATCTGCCAGTCTTTGCCTTTGGCACTGGGAGTGTCAAAAGTTGCACATATTCTTTGCCTGATAGAGTAAGGTATCTTAAAGGCTTGTGGGCCCATCTGAACAGGAAAGTTGTTGTCATCGTGCGAAAAAAAAGTGATAGATTCTCTTTCATTCTGCATGGGAAATAATAATAATGGTTATTTTAATGGTTTTAATAATTTAATAAAATTAAATTATTTTAATAATGGTTAAAGTGGGCTCTTCTCTCTCCCAAACCAACTTGTTTAATTCACCAGAATCCATTCTGTAAACAAATTGCTGTTTGGGTAAAGCAGAAATGGACATCTGGGGCTTTTTAGATGTTGATCAATATAAACTGATCTATTTATGAGTCTGCAAATATTCTATTTGATTCCCAAGTGATTGAATAGAACCATCCTTTAAAAGTGAATTACAGCATTGATTTGCTGGCCAAACCCACTCCCCCTTACCCAAATTATCACCTCAAATCAAATCAACTTGTTGAATCAATCTGGCAAGTGGAATCAGATCAAGAACAATCCTGACATTCCAACAGCTAGCAAAGCCAGTTTTGAGAGAAGCTAAAAATGATACTTTAGCAACTTGTGAAGGTCTGCTGGTCACTCATTCTTGGCTGTAAAGAAACATGCAGCAGCATCTTATTAATCAGTGAACACAGAACAACATCCTATTTCTGAAGACTGTTAGGGGAAAATGTGACATTTATTGCACTCACTGAGGCTTGTGGGTACTTTGCATGACTGGCTGCTAAGAATTTGAATGTCAAGCAAATAGATGAAAGTACAAATTTCCCAGTCTTTGCAATGAAAGCAGCACACCCTTATTTTTACTGTGGGAAAAATAGTGCATTTGGTTGACTTACCATATTTTTGAGAGGAAAAAAACCCACCAAATACCAACCCTTGCTACATTTAGTTGAGTACTCTTGACTTTTACTAGATTTTTTTTTTTTATACCCATATCTTGACTTGAAAGGATTGGCTATGGAATTTTCTTCAAGCAAAAACAGACCTGCTTGCACAGATCTATGGTCTTCTTTTTCAAGAGGATGTGATTTAAAGCAGGTTTCTATGTCTCTAGTTCATTACTTGCCTGTTTCCCAGGGTTTTTTTTCTTCATTTTCCCATGCAATACCTGACACCATAAGTTATATGGGTAACAAACTACCTGCCTCCCCACTTCTATATTTTTCCCTCATATCACTTTCTCCATATTTTCTGTATCAGGATATTGCTCATTATCTGCAACGTCTTGGTGCTAGTGTATACTAAATATTTCATGGGGATGTTTCTACAAGTCTTTTCATATAACATTTATGGCTCATCTCAAAAAACAGCAGTTTTTTGATATGAGGAAAGCTGCAAGTACATCATATTTCCAGATTGGGAAAGCTGCAAGTACATCATATTTCCAGATTGTTTTAAATTAAATATGCAACAGATTTGGTACTCTGTTCCTTGAAGATAAGCTTCTGCTACCTGCTTTATCAAACCAACCAACCAATAAAATGCACTCATGGTGATACATGGTGATGTACTCAAGAAGGACTGAGCTTATTTCTCCCCATATATTTCTGAATTAACTTTGTCTTGTATTTGTGTTTTGAAAATAAGAATTAAAACTGCCATCTCTGGGCTGCAAAAATTCAGAGAACCACTAGATGTCAAAAAACAAATATAGTACATTTTAATACTTAGCTACTATCTAGTGGCCTTCTGAATATTTATAGCCTAGACATGATGGTCTTTGATTTAAAAAAAAAAACATTTGTAATATCAACATTCTTTTTTCAATGGACAGTATATCACATTTTGCAATATAGCTTTCTTTTACCTGTCTGTCTGGTAAATTACTGTTCCCTCCCAGAAAGCAAATTAATCTGATTATGATAAAAAAATGTAATTCAGCATATTTATAAAATGCCTCCTCTTGCTTATCTGAGCATTTCATTCCACAAACAGCCAAAGATTGGTTAACTTCTCTTTAGGTGCAGTGGGGAATAGAATTGTGTATTTCCTGATTAGCAATTCATATTCTTCTTTTACCTATGCCTGTTCTCACATCTGTCTGATTAATTAGTTTATCACTCAATTTAGTTCTTCCTTGCTAACAACTTTCCAAGAATCACACAGTCCTTCATTCATATTAATGATAAATTGTTCAACTTTATTTCAGAGATGCCTGCATGTTGTGGTAACAAATGAAGATAGATATGAACAGGGAAGGAAAGACTTGCCTCTAGAATTGATGTCTGGATCTGTAGGATCTGTTCATGGCCTTTGACTTGTCTGACACAGATTTTGCATGAGAGTTGTGTGGTGGCAGGAGTGTAGCGCTCCAGGGAAAAGGCACAGTGAAGTGGTTGCTTGTTGTTGCACCATACACGAGAAAAAGGAACTTCCTAGAAAAGAAGGGGCAGGATGGAAGTGGCTTGCAAATTGACCAAGCAAAAGATTAATGTAGAATAGAAGAGAAAGAATTGGAGAAAATAACAAAATGCAAAGACATGCAAATAGAAATAAAACAACCTTGGCAAAAGAAAGCAAAGGTAATACCAATAACAATAAGCATCTTTGGTGCAATCCCAAAACAATTGGAGCACCATTTGAACCCCATTGGCACCGACAAATTCATCACCAATCAGTTGCAAATACAGCTTAATTTGGAACAATTTATATCCTGCAACAGTACCTGTAAAACCATCAATCATCAACATCCGCCTATCCCAGGTCCTTAGAAAGGACTGAGAGTGGATAAAAATGCAAAATACATCTGAATATCTGGCTGACTAGGCAACAAACCATAATGATAAGTGCTAAAAAAAAGAGGCTTTGCAATAAATATTTGCTTTGAAGGAATACCAAGTCAACTGTGGATAAGGATGGCTAGGTAAGACAAGGTATTAGGAAGCAACCATATTTTAAGTGAACTGTGGGTTTTGAATCTTTAAACTATAATACAGTTGGCAGTTTAAGAGCATTGCTCTGCACACTTTTATCAAACATCTGCTATTATAGATCTTGAAAAATCCCTAATTGGTAGACAACGCAGTAACCGGTTGACAAGCATGAATGACGAGAAAGCAGGCTGAGGAAACATTTCTCAATCTGTCATCTTTAACTTGTCTTTTCCCAGATACTCTACAAGGTTACTGTCCAACCTTGGCAACTTTAAGATTTGCCAAGGCTGGCTGGGGAATTCTGGGAGTTGAAGTACACAGGTCTTAAAGTTGCCAAGGTTGGACACTCCTCAACTTATTTTGCTGCTTTTTCCCAAGAAAGATAGACCCCTTTTCCAATGAAGCACTGGGATGAAGCTGCTCATTAAATTCCCCCCCCCCCGAAAAAAAAATTGATCTCTGTAAACCATGTGCACACATTCTTTGAATCAGTGCAGGAATTAGCCATTTCTTCACAGCATGCCAGGTTTCCATGTTAAACTTGATAGAGGCAAGAAGATAGACAAGTCATGACTGGCACATTGAATCACATAGGCACCAAATAACAAATAATGGAAATATTATAAAAGAAGGCTTCTATAAAGGTGCTTATCTATCCATTTTGAATCAATATCATCATCATCATCAATCAATCCACTGCAATGAAAAGCTCTTCACTGAACATTATGGACTTGTAATCTACCAATCTGAATTAGCGTGGGTTGGTAGATAGATGGCTTGCAGTTTTCCAGTTTATGCTGGGAGAATGGCCTAAAATCATACAGATGACTTCTGTATTTAAGAGAGAAAAGAACCCCAGACTTTCAACTCCTAGTCCAACCACTTACCTACTACACCACATTGGCTCCTACCCAACTTCAGTACCTGAATGTCTATGGGGATTCTCAGTCATCCAGTTCATGTTTGTCTCAAAGGTGCTTTTTCAAAAGGCAATTGGACTATGTTTTTCCTTGAGGAAGAAGATGTTTCGTTTCTAATCCAAGAAGCTTCATCAGTTCTGATTGGATGGTGGGGAGGATGGAAGGATGAGGTCTGACAGGATGAGGAGGGGGATGGAAGGATCATATTTCTTTGTAGTCATCTGGTTGTTAGCATTCTCTCTCTGAGAGCTGTTGAGGCCATTTGGGGGTTTATCTGTGCCCTCAGTGTCACCTGAATCAGAATGCAAATGTATGTAGAATCTTCTTTGAACAAAGGACCGCATTATATACAGGAGATAGGTGGTGTTATGTTTCTCTCCCTCTGTTGTGGGAGAGCTGTTCAATTCTAACATAGATAGCCTCTTTTACCACTCTTTCAAACCAAAGATCTTTTCTATCCAGAATGTGGAAGTTAACCGAAGTGGGGAAGAAATGACTTGTATCATGAAGTTGCGAGGAAAAAACAATGCAGAAAGATTGAGCTTATTTGAGTCTCACAGACCTTTCAAGTCAAACTGCCCTATGCTAAGCTAAAATCAACCCAATCAATTCTTCCTTTGGCATGATAGAGGAAGTCTCTGGAATTGTAAATAAAACAAAACATCAACAAAACAATTGTAGCATATACAGCAAAAGGAAGCAAACAACAATATGTAATTTATGAGTTTCCTTCCAAACCACTGGTTCATTAAAACACACCCTCTCCAGCAAACACACACAATAGCTCTTAAACCTGGCTTTTAGAATCTGTTTCAGTAAATAAGAGCAAGATACTAATTGTGATAAAGAAACAATAGAAGCAACACTATAAATTGTGATTAAAACAACAAAATAGAAACAACATTATAAAGTGGAAGTGTAATTAGTTTTCTCTTTAAAAACTATCTTTTTTTTCTTTTTCTTTTTTTTTTTTGCAGATGGGAGAAAAAGAAGAGAAAGGGAAGCTGAGTTACTAAAGCTGAGTATTATGCTGTAGAAGGAAAAATATAATAGAAGTTATGGATAATGCTCAGTTAGGTAAAATCTTCCAGATTATTTTCTATAAATGAGTTTCATTTCTGTTTTAATTTGGGCTGTCTTGCACTGTCCTAAGATAAACCTCAAAACCAGGTTGTTAATGACTTGTTCTAATAAAGTTAAAAGTTACAATCTACTATCTGCAAAGTGAATTTTATTATTTCACAGTAGCATTTCAATTTTTAAAAATAATTAATACCTTAGTGTCAAATCTCTTACAGCTTCATTATTATGTTTTATTTTTGTTCTTTTAATGATAGAAAATTAAAAGCTACCTCAAGCCAAACTGGACTTGAATGCAGAATGCCATTATTAGAACAAGTCAGGAGGTTGTTTACCGAAACTTCAATGATTTTTTCCCAACTTCTTAATCTATTTTACAGCCAAGTGGTACAGTGGCCTAGAGGTGAAGATGCTCGCCTCTCATTCAGAAAGTTGAGAGTTGAGTCCTAGGCAGCGGCAGATGTTTCTCTATCAGGGCGCAAAAAGAAAACATCTGCTGCGAACTTCTCATAGGCGTCAATAAGGGCATCTGGCCAGTAAACACTCAGCTTCATCCGGTCACCCAAACCCCAACCTGAAGCAAGGGATTACAGGGTCATAAAAAGAAAAAAAAAACTATTTTACAGCTCCCAGCTCCACTTACTAATTATTAACTATAACTGATCTAGCTTAGCTTCTCAGGATCAGCCAAGATGACATCATCTGTTGGTTTATCCAATAATATTTGACAAAATCTTTTTTTATCAATTGATTTATCAATATATTAAACTATACATTTAATCCAAAAGTCTGTGCATTGTGTTAAGAGAAGCAATGAACCCCACAAAGACATACGCATTGAAGGTTTGAAATTGCTTGGTTATTAAAAATGGAAAATATACTCATCACACACATATTAGTCTTCCTATGCAAATACCTGACATGCTGTGAATGGTTTAATTCTCCAGAGAAAAGGGGGAATATCAAGAACAGAGATCTGAAGGCTGAAGGTATTCCCTTTGAAATGCAGCAGTTTTGGTTCTTCCAGCAATTGTCCTCCCTGGTGTCTTTCACATGAAATCACATCCTGCAACAATGGAGAATAGAAAACAAATGCATTGTAGGATAAATGTTAAAAAAATTCCCTCCATGCTGAAGGTAATGGAATGAGAACTAGAATCTTGTTAGGGCATTATTCTAAAAGAAAAGCTCCCATGGATCAGTCCAACTATCCATGTCCTGCAAGAGAGAGAGAGAGATGTTTTTGAGATGCTATCATTTTTTTCCCTAAATTATATTTTTTTCAGTTGTCCTGTACAGTTTTTGTGTGGTTCCCATCTCAAAGTAGCAGAAAACTAAATCACAAAAGTTTCAGAACTTCAGTTTCAGAGGATGCAAGAAAAAGGGCTTTGTGGCCTTAAAGAAGGGAACCTCAATTCAACTCTCCATGGCCATCTTGCCACACCCAACTTGCTGCAGCCAATTCACCTTGGCCAACTCTCCGTGGGACAGCTTGTCATGGCCAACTGCAGGACAACTTGCTGGAGGACAAGAATACACTAATATCGAAGAAATAGTCGAATAGGATAATTAAAGGAAGGATGACAAAGGAAGGACAAAATAAAATGTGAATGACAAAAATTAAAATAATTTGAAATTGAATTGTTGAATTGTTCCGCAGCAAGTTGTAGTTGTTCCAAGGCAAGTTATCCTGCAGTGAGTTAGCTGTAGCGATTTGGCCACAGTGAATTGGTCATGGCAAGTTGGCTGAAGCAAGTTGTCCCATTCCCTCTGCACAGAATGAAAGAGAGCATGACTGTCCAGTCTATATGACCCAGGAGATTATTTTATCCAGATCAGAACTTCAGCCTCTGCTTTCAATAAATCAATTGTTAAACAAGATTGCATACGCTATTGTATGGATATAATACAATATGGATATAATTTCTTAACTTTAATCAAGATCTTTTGATGTTTGATTCTTCAGTGCATTGTCTTCCCTGGATAAGAAAGCTATTGGAGGTAGACTATGAAAAGTTTGCCTTCCGCAGTTTGTGGGTATTTCTAAGGACTTTGCCAATTGGGAATTGGAGAATGTCTGCTTGGTTCTTCTTTCTTTTCAAGCTTGGAAATTCTATGGATCCTATTGTTTAACAGTTTCTTTATTTTGTGCATGAATCATTCCAAGCGCTTGGCATCCAGATGCCTTGTCGAATACTCAGAGCTCATTACTCCTGATCAAATACAGAAGAGCTGTAAGGAAGAGCTTGGAAAAAACCACCAGAATTAAACTATGAAAACCGTGCACTGGACTGCATCACGTGTGCTTGGCTAGAACTACATCTGGCTCTGAATCTCACCATTTACCCAGGGAAAAAGAAAAATGTTTCATGCTGGGAGAAATGCCTGTTAGGACCAAGCTGCACATTGTGTTCAGTTATGTGGAACTTTCTGTAATCCTTCTGCTTTTTAATGAAAAAGAAAAAGGAAAAAGATCCGGCCATCTTTTATGGCATATGACCAGATAAGGACACACTTAACATATTGCATTAAACTTCTTTTGTTCTGAATAAGCCACCTGAGGTTTCAGGCAGATTTGAGAATAAAAGAGCCAGCTATGTACAGTTTTCTGCATCCCCAATCTTGATTATCTGGCTGGCACCTTTATTTTATTTTTGTTTAAGAGGGCAAAGTTACATTTAATTATTGCTTGTAGTTGGCCCTTACAATTGGGTTTGTCTTGACAGGCTATTTAAACCTTCTCTGCATTCTAGAATGTCTGCACAATTCTTCTCCCTTTCCCTGTATCTCTGGGCACAGAACAGAAGTGCAAGCAATTTTTTATTGTTATTTGTTTATTATTTAAATTTGTTATAGCCCCCAACTCCAGTGGATTCTGGATGGAGTATATCCCCCTTCCCCAAAAAATCCATTAAACCAGACCTGTGCTTTTTACAGCCCCCCCAGACTATATCTGTCCCTTTGGTTGTTCCTGTCCAGCTCATGTGAGGTCAATTGGAAATTAGAAATCAAATGTAAATAAACATGCTGCAAGGGGCAGGAGAAAAAGCTGATTCAGGTCTGGCTTTGTGCAGTCACCATGTGCTCCTTCAGTCAGGTGGCAGAGAGGATGAGGAGAGAAAATGCTTTTCTGTGCCTGCACAACATTCATCCAGGGGTGAAAAGCTCCCGGTTCGGACCGGATCGCCTGATCTGGTAGCGATGGAGGCGGGTGGTTCGGAGAACCGGTAGCAAAAATCCCCCCCCCAATGCCCAGCTGAGCCACACAATCATCAGAGACTTTTTTTTTTTACTTTTAAAAGCATTTTTTCTACAACTACAGCCAAAAAAATGCTTTTAAAAGTAAAAAAAAAAAAAAGCCTCTGATGATCGCGCGGCTCGTCAAAGGCATTTAAAAGAAAAATCCTTTTTTTTCTTTTAAATGCTCTGACGATCCAAGCTGAGTTCCCTGATCGGCAGAGGCTTTTTAAAAAAGCCACGCCCACCCAGTCACATTACCCCACCACCAAGCCACACCCACAGAACCGGTAGTAAGAAATTTTAGATTTCACCCCTGCATTCATCCCTCACCTAGAGCAGCCTGAGGAGTTGAGGTGATGGAGTTTGAGGACATCAAATCAGTTTACATTGGTTCAGCCCTCTACAACAATCCCAGTTTCTTATGTGATCCTTTGGGAAAATTAATTGCCCACCCTTGCATTAAACATCTGGAAATACCAAGAATGATTTGGCCATCTTACCTGAAATGCACAGGGAGTGTTGTCAACACAGTACACTCTTAGACTGTAATCCAAAGAGTTGCAGGACATACAGCCAAAGACTACTACTTTCAGTTCTTTAACAGAACAATCAGACAATGGCTCCCCAATGAGAGCATAAGTTCCAAAGGAGTCCAAAAGAATATGACAAGCATATGGGTCCAAGAGGCAGTAACAAGAAGTGGTTTCTTCCTCTACAGACATCACTTCCTGGATGTGTCAGAACATTAAACCCAGAAAGAAGAAAAGCAAAAGTGACTTGGCAGAAAATGAATTACATTCAAAAAGTTTCCATACAAATTCTATTATTTACTTTGCAGTGGTTTTTTTAATGAGCTTGGAACAGACTTACTATATACACTACAGGTATTACTACTATTTTTTTGGCCAGGGCTCCCCAAAAAAGTATTTGCAGGTGAAGAATTGCACTTGGTTGAATTAGAATTTCTTTCTTTTCTCCAAGTTGGGAAAACGTAATCTCTATTTAGTTTTAAACTACATTAAGTTAATTTTAGTATTTAATGTCAGGCATGAAGGATCAGGATCACATACAAGTTCTAGTTCATAAAATTTATTGCTCAAGTCTGTACATAAGAATTTAATCAACTAAAGTTCAATACTAAATTGGTACCAGATAAGGATCAATGGAATTCAAGGGGGTCAGATCTGGACCGTTTGTGACAATATAATGGCTCTAGGCTGATTCTGGACTCTGTGCCCCACAGTTCTGTTTGCTCTTTTCCTATCTCTAAACTTCTGTTTCTGTAACACATCAAGTCAATATGTTGTTTATCAAGGGTAATTGTAATTAGAGGAATCTTTAGGAACCTCAAACAGGAAGTTGGGGGCTGCGTGAATCCTCTGCTCACCAAATGTTGATATGTGTTAATGAAAATACTGATAAAGAAATCAACAAGACATAAAAAATAAGTGTTTACTTTGAAGACTGTTTAGACATCAGAGCAAACAATTCTAGGGTTATATTGTATTTAGAAATTATTTCTTTCTTTCCTTCTTTCTTTCTCTCTCTCTCTCTCTCTCTCTCTTTCTTTCTTTCTTTCTTTCTTTCTTTCTTTCTTTCTTTCTTTCTTTCTTTCTTTCTCTTTCCTTCCTTCCTTTCCTCCCTCCCCATCATCTATCTTTCTATCTATCCAGTTATATTTATACGCTGTCTATCTCAAAGTTGAAGTGATTCTAGGCTCTAAATACACAGGTGGAACTTATTTGCTTTTATTGTTAAGTATCACTAACATCTGAGCAATGATTTCCAACTCCTCTAATTTTTATCAGTTTCATCCTTATACTTTTTATCTATTTCTGAAAGTAATTTTGCTTACCTCCCATTTGCCTGGATGCTTTCTTTTTTTCAAATGAATATTCCAATGCTCAGAGTTCACATCTGCACAATGCGGGATTGTCAAGGCAAATGGAGTGGAGACCATCACTTCTATAGGACCGCAAGTCACTTCTGGACCTAGGAGGATTTCACTGCCTTCCAACTGAAGGCTTCACATTGGATACATAAGAAATGTTGAAAAGGAAAGAAACAGAACATCAAATTATTTCCCCCCAAAAAAGTGATAATACACACTCATTATATAGTATACAATATTTATCTTCATGCCTATGTTGCATTTATGTTTGCTCAGTTGTACAATTAATTCCTTTAAAATATATATAACAAAATTTCAGGGCTGTAACCATGAGTGGCACACAAACAAAACAGAGAAAAACAATGCGAGTTAGGTAAGTAAAGAAAATGGTATATGCTGCATGTCAGATAAAATTAATCCTATATACCAGTGATGGCTAACCTTTTTGCTGTCACATGCCAAAAGCGGGGGGAGCATGGTGGTTGTGTGTGTGCGTGCTCACACCCACAATTCAATGCACCCTACCCCCTGCGCATTTGTGCATGACCCCCCCATGTTTTCCCCACTTTTGGCACACAATGGCACGGTAGGCCAGGTAGGCCCATTTTTCGCCCTCCCCACGCTCCAGAGGCTTTCTTGGAGCCTGGGGAGGGCAGAAATGGCCTTCCCTAACCCCCAGAGGCCCTCTAGAGGCTGGAAATGGCCCGTTCCCTGACTTCTGGTGGGACCTGAAGGCCTGAAAATCAGGTGGCCAGCACATGCATGCACACTGGAGCTGAGCTGGGGAACACTCACGTGCCCACAGATATGGCTCCGCGTGCCTCCTGTGGCACACGTGCCATAGGTTCGCCATCATGGCTATATACCATCCTTCAACAACCAGACATTTTCCAGACACACTTTCAGAATTCCTTAGCCAGCGTTGCTGAAGTGGATTTTGCAATCTTGTTTACATTTGGAAAGGCTGATATGAGCTGCCTCATACATAACCAATGTGTACGATCCACAGAGTACATAAGGCGTTACCAAATTTCAGAATTGAGATTCAAATTTCAAGAAACAACACAACTAGATCCTATAACTAACTGAGATGTCTAATTCACCCCTGCATTTACAGAAACAACACCATCACAGACCCCCAACAATCGCATATACAAGATTAGAGGTAACTTCACATGGATTTCTGTTAATATAATGCATGTGAATATCTACCAATAACGTCCTTCTGGATTTTACATAGAACAAATGGGTCAGACTTTATGTAAATAATTAATGGACACAGGTTTGAAATCATGACTCAAAACAAGGACTATTTATTTATTTATTTATTTATTTATTTATTTATTTATTTTATTTATTTATAAATATACATTTCTTTATAATATATAATATAATATATAAAGATTCAAGGAATTCAAGAGGGGTTGGACCATTTGTGGCAATGTAATGATTCTAGGCCGACAACACGCTTAATTCCACCGCTCAACTCCTTCTCCTACAAGGTATTTACATTTGAAGGACGAGACCTGGAAAATGCCACACTATCAAGTCGAGTGTGAAAGTCAGATAACGTCAGGGAGAGATGACCCCATAAACAGCCAGCAACATATAAAAGCATTTCAACCTCCCAGGACACTCTATTACAAATATCAAGGTTGCCAAATTGGGGGGGAAAATGTTGATTGGACAATTGAGGTAAAGGCTGCTAAACCATACATTCAAAATTCTTCAAAGATCTCAACAAACATAATGGACACATTATAACACATTCCCCTTCGTGGAAAATCCTCCTCCTGTAGGACTATTATATTGATCGGTCTCCACAAGCGATGTTCTATTCTTATTGAACCTATGTACCGATATGGTCTGGACAGTCACGTGGGTGCTGAGGGAGCCGGCTTCTGGACACTGGATGCTATTGTAAGGCTGGAGGCGGACCATCAAATTTTCTAAAGTCACGACCATCTGACCATCACCGTGAGAGGGTAACTGGGATATTGATCCTCCAGATGTGCTCAAAGGCGTAAGACTCCTCCCATTGGGGTAAGAGAACAGTAGAGGCCAGCTGTTTTTTTTCCACATGGATTTTCCATCTTCTCTTGCAGAACTTTTATTAGACCCCACCCGGATGCCAGATCCTTGTTGGACTTTAGTGGATGTATTTGGTGGCGGAGCTAATTGCACTGCAAGATTCCCCCCTCTTGCAGACATGGCCCTCCACATTATCAAGGGCCTACCTCAATGACGGGCTTTGGGACCCAGAGAGGTGGCATGTGAAAAAAAGGGGGTTGAGGGATTTTTTAACAAGGGTAGTAGGGAAGCTTTTAAGGGGACCCGGGAGGGGGTGAGGGGGCTATAGAGATGGACCTGGGGGGGTCCATATAGCCACTATGCGGGGTGGTGGGTTGGATGGGCACAGCAGAAGGGTTGAGGAGGGTAATCTGACCAGGGAGCCGGGGGGCGAAAGGAAGGGCAGTTCAATTGAAATAATAAATGGGAGGAGCAAGTATGACGGGCGCAGGGGGCCATATCAGGTTACGGGGGTGCACACACGCTGTCTTCAAGCGATTGCGTGCTCCAGCCCCCAAGGCGCGACTTATGTCTTGGGTTGCACAGAGTCTCAGGCCCTGGGTCCTCAGCTGATGTTATGTAATGCCGGGTCAGTAGTTAATAAAGCCCCCCTCATTTGTGATCTTATCTTGGAGGGGGGTAGGGACCTGGCAGGTATTACAGAGACCTGGTTGGTCCAGGAGGGAGGGTCCCCCTTGTTGAAATGTGCCCACCAGGTTTCTGTGCATTTCATCAGCCAAGAGCTCAGGGGAGGGGTGGGGGAGTGGCGGTGATTATTAGGGAAAGTCTTTGTCCGAGGGAGACCACTGTTCCTCAGATAGCCGGATGTGAGTCCCTTTTTGTGAAGTGGGGCCATGGGGTGCAGATGGGTTTGCTGACTGCATACCTGGCTCCCTGCCACGTGGCAGCGACCCTGCCCGAGCTGCTCGATGTTATTGCTGGGGTGGCGGTTGATACCCTCCCATTGTCATGGGAGATTTCAACCTACCATCCTCAGGTGAGGCATCAGAGGTGGCTTGGGAGTTCATGGCTTCCATGGCGGCCATGGACCTGACCCAGTTAGTTCAAGGCCCCACTCACAAAGGGGGACACACTCTGGACTTGATTTTCGTCTCTGGTCAGTGGTTGAATGAACTTGGTAGAGGGGATCTAGACATTAAACCCTTATCATGAACAGATCATTCACTCCTTCACTTGGACTTTCCAGCCACTTCCCCCCGCCGCAGGGAGATGGAACCAACCAGATGGTTCCATCCCAGGTGCCTGATGGATCCCGAAAGGTTCCTGATGGAGCTTGGGCTGTTTCCTGAGACCCTGGCACACGACCCGACCAAAGACCTGGTCGCCGCCTGGGAGAAAGCAGCCACCAGAGCTTTGGACCATGTCGTGCCTTTGCGGCCTCTGACCCGATACCGATCTCAATTGGCTCCTTGGTTCTCCGAGGAGCTGAGAGAGATGAAGCATCAGAAAAGATGCCTAGAGAGCATTTGGAGGACTAGTCAATCCGATTCTGACCGGACACTGGTGAGGTCTTATATCAAGACCTAGTGGCGATAAAAGCGGAGAAATCTAACCATTTTTCCGCTCTTATCACATCTGCAGAGAACTGCCCAGCCGCTCTGTTTAGGGTGACCCACTCCCTTCTTCGGGGGGGAGTGCGGGAAGATCCCTTGCAGGGTCGAGCTGAGGATTTTGTGCAATTCCTGCATGATAAAGTCGCTTGGATTCGAGAAGGCTTGGACTCCAACTGGATGAGTCCAGGGGAGGAGACGATGGTAGGTCTTGAGAATATTATCTGGGAGAAGTTTGATCCTGTGGCTCCTGAGGATGTGGACAGGGTTCTGGGTAAGATTAGTGCTGCCACGTGTTTATTGGACCCGTGGTTGGTACTGGCCTCCCGGGAGGTTACACGAGGCTGGCTCCAGGGGATTATATGTACTTCTCTGAGTGAGGGTGCCTTTCCCACTGCCTTGAAAGAGGCGGTGGTGAGGCCCCTCCTCAAGAAGCCTTCCCTGGACCTGGCTGAATTAGCTAACTACCATCCAGGCTCCAACCTTCGTTTTGTGGTGAAGGTTGTTGAGAGTGTGGTGGCACGACAGCTTACCCGGCACCTGGATGAAGCTATCTATCTGGATCCGTACCAGTCGGGCTTCAGGCAGGGGTACAGCACAGAAACAGCATTGGTCGCGTTGGTGGATGATCTCTGGAGGGCTTGGGACAGGGGTTGCTCCTCTGTCCTGGTCCTATTAGATCTCTCAGCGGCTTTTGATACCATCGACCATGGTATCATGCTGCAATGGTTGAGGGAGTTAGGAATAGGGGTCACCATTTTGCGGTGGTTCTCCTCCTTCCTCTCCGACCGTTCGCAGTTTGTGTTGGTAAGGGGGCAGAGGTTGACCTCGAGGCACCTCGCATGGGGAGTGCCGCAAGGGTCGGTCCTCTCGCCCCTTCTGTTCAACATTTATGTGAAGCCGCTGGGTGAGATCATCCATGGTTTTGGGGTGAGAGTCCATCAGTACACTGATGATACTCAGCTGTATATCTCCACCCAAGACCACCCCAACGATGCCCTTGATGCGATGTCTCGCTGCCTGGAGGCCGTGCGAGTCTGGATGGGGAGAAATAGGCTCAGACTCAACCCTTCCAACACCGAGTGGCTGTGGCTTCCGGCATCCCGATATAGTCAGCGGTGCCATCGCTGACTATTGGGGGTGAATCTTTGCCCCCCAAAGAGAGGGCTCGCAATCTGGGTGTCCTCCTGGATGCATGGCTGTCTTTAGAAGAGCATATGACGGCCGTGGCCAGGGGGGCTTTTTATCAGCTTCACCTGATTCGCCAGTTGCAGCCCTTTCTGGACTGGGACACCTTGCGCACAGTCACTCACACTCTTGTCACCTCCCAGCTGGACTATTGTAATGCTGTCTACATGGGGCTCCCCTTGAAGAGCACTCGGAGGCTCCAGCTGGTCCAGAATGCGGCCACACGGGTGGTTATGGGTGCAACCCGTTGTGGCCATGTGACACCCCTCCTGTGCGAGCTGCACTAGCTCCCAGTGGTCTTCCG